GGGGGGGAAATGGGGGGGAAAGGGGGGAAGAAAGAAAACCCACCACGGAATAGCTTAAGCGAAAGCGGGTGAACCGCTTAATCCCAGAAGATCCAAGATTTCCTCTGAGCAGCCGCCTCCCTTGTCCCCCCCACCCGTCCCCCTCCCTGTCCCTTTTTGCTTTTTCGTGGCTGTGGTGGTGGCAAAGAAAGTGGTTAACCAAAACCCTACGTGTTGGTTTTGTGTTTCCCTGAAAACCACAGGCTCACAGAGCATGAGGTACCGCTCCTGCCCCTCTTCGCGCTTGCAAGAAACTGTGGCTTCGCTCTTTCTCTGCCTGTACTGCAGATATTTTTCCCTCCTTTCCTCCACACTCTTCTGTTTATTTCCCTGTAAAGCAAAGCTACTTTGTAAACATCTCACACAGAACCTCAGAGCCTTTCCAAATAGCTGATTGCAGCAAAATGCCTCCAAACAAATTATGGTGCAAGGGGGATATAAGGGACGAGACCAAAGTGGGTAAAAAAGAAATAAATTTGCATAAATATGCATATGTGACAAGAAGATCGCGTATGATGGTGGAAATGTCAAAAAGAAAGTATCGCTTTATCATGATGGGAAAAGTAAAAGCACAGACGACTGCAGCAAACTGCTCGCCCTTTGCCAGAGTACCAACTGCAACACCTCTCCCTCTCTTCCCCCACCCTCGCCGAGAAAAAAAAAAAAAAAAAAAAAAAAAAAGGGGGGGGGGAACAGAAAAAAAAAACAACAGGGGAAAAAAATGATTATGAACACTCAAACTGCAAATCCGGTACTCCTACCTTAACACTGGGATAGCTGCAGAAGCATAGGGGTCTTTTTTACACAGCCAGAATCTTTCAGGAAATCCTCTCGGGCTATCATGCAGCCAGGATTATTCACATACGGTTCTTGCTCTCCTTTTTGGAATCCAATGCGATTGGCTTCTCCAAAGGAATGCAACGACCACGAAAGGGGGGAAAAATTAAAAATAACAAGAAGAAAGACAACAACACTGGATTTGACGGAAACTCGTGTTCTCGGTTGTAAGCGACCTACATTCAGGCAGAAAATTCATTGCAATCAATGCGAGAGGGAGAGTTGAGTCTGCAAGTAGGAGCTGTGATTGCCTATGCAGAAAGACCGAGCCGCGGAGAGACTGATCTGCAAGGCAAGGCGAGCTGGGAGAGAGAGGGAGATGGGGGGGTTGGGGGGGGGAGAGAGAGGAGGGGGGGAGAGGTCCAGGCTGTACCAGGCGCTCTCCTCCCGCTATTGGACCAAACTGAATGAAATTCACAAAGCCGCCAGCCAATGGCTCCCCGCAGCCAGCCCAGCGCTACAGAAACCGCATCTCCATCCACAGCCCCCCGCGAAGGAGCGGCGCATCCCCGCTCGAAGCGGCGCCGGCGGAGCCGGGCCGGGCACCGCGGGCCGGACAGGTGGGCACAGCGCTCACGGAGCAGTGAAGGTGTCCCCATCTGTGTGTGCTTGTGTGTTCGGGAGGATCACACAATTCACACTGCCGATCTCTCTGCTCCGTGGTCATGTACAGCAAGTGCAGTCTTTGTTAACCCTTTACAGTAGCAGTTTCTACAGTACCAGCCTGTTGTTACCATATTCACCCACCTGAGTTTTGGTGGAGCTGACAGTATAATTGTACACCAAGCAATTAAGCATTTTGTTCCTGTTCCCTGTCCTCCCAAAAAAAAAAAGAAAAAAAAAAAAAAAAAAAAAAAAACAACAAACCCCACAAAAACAGCAAAGCAGACATTTGCCCTGTGCCCAATGATTTTAAACAGATTTCCTATTTTTTTTCATAAGGAGAACAGTTATTTGATGTTCATATTTTAGTTAGCTAGCCACTAAGCTAAATGATGCTCAAGTGGGGGCCCTGTGGTTGTTGGCACGTGCTATAACACAGGGTCTCTGGTTCGTTCCTGTGTATAGTTTCAGACAGGTTGGTGTAGCAAAGATGTGCTTAGGCCTCCACAGGTACACCTTGTTTCACTCCACAGCATGTTTGCTTAATCAGTTTAATAACAGCACTTACACCATCTGGAGTGCAAGACCCCGCATTAAGAACAGGTGAGCATTGCCTGACTTTGCTGAGGACTGAGCAGAGAGCAAAATAAGGAGGTCTTGAAGATCTTGCCATCATTTGAAACAAAAATCATATTCATACCTTTATGGGATCTCCTTCCACAAGAGTTGTATTAGATTTCATAAGAGCAGTTTTTGAGAGTTTCAATTCTGAAGAAAAAAAAAAATCTGAAGCTCTTCTTATCTAGAATCTGTTTCTGCCCCCATGACAGATCCTCAGTAGAGAACAGATAGTGCTTTGAATTTTCAAATCTAAATTGTCTGTGATATTTGGCTTATCAATCACTTCTATACTCTGTTGTTTCAAGTGGTAAAGGAATATATACCATCTGATCTAGCAGACAACTAGTATGCCTGTTGTGTGTCTGTTCTTATATTTCACTATATGGTATGAAGGATATTTCCATAAGCGTCACTTAGGAAGGTATGTTTTGGTTTTAAATGTTGTAAATCTCAGTTCAGATGTAATTCACGGACTTAAAATGTCTTAAAAATTGCAATAGCCACTATTAACTTATTAACTTTGTCAGTGAAGTAATTATATTTATATTACTTAATTATATGTTTTGACTTACTTATATTAAGTCACTGTAGCAGCAGGTGTTCATGCAAGTGAATTTTACTGCTTTTGTTATTTTAATAATGCACCCACAATGTGTAACCAATCATATTGCTTGAATGAGTGAATATTTTGACACATTTAGAAAAGATGTCATCTTGCACTGCCATCTGTCCCAAATTTTGCAGGACAGTCTTTATTTTGATGAATATGTCATGCATTTTATATGATTAATTTGGAGAATATTAAAGTGTGTGCTAGTTAATCTGAATAATGATCTTCCACCTGTGTTGTACTATGAGGAGGCAATTTGTTACAGGTTACCAAAGGATCATCTGTAATGTTTGCAATTAATGTTTGCAACTATGACTTAAATATTATAAAGCACAGCAATAAAACTAAGCTTTCCAAAGACTGTACACAAATTTGTGATCAAAGTATGTAAGTAAAAGGCATTTGGTCAGAACAGCAGAATGTACTTTTCTCCTCTTACAACTTTCAAAAAGCTGTGGCTTATCTGCAGCAATCCACTGCATATTTATAACTCCAAGCACGAGTCCAAGAGCAATCATTCAGAGAGAAGAATTCCACTTAGTATACAACACCTTCACTTCTTACAAAGTCGCATTGTATTCTAGTATTACCCCAACTTCGCTTGTTTTGCTGGTTTTGTTGGGGATAGAGTTAATTTGTTCATAGCAGCTAGTATGGGGCTATGATTTAGTTTTGTGCTGGAAACAATGTTGATAACACAGGGATGTTTTAGTTTTTGCTGAGCAGCACTTGCACAGCATCAAGGTCTTTTCTGCTCCTTATCCCGCCCCACCAGGGAGCAGGCTGGGGGTACACAAGGAGTTGAGAGAGGACAGAGCAATGTGCTGATTCCAGCTCACCAAAGGGATTTCCCACACTATATGGCATCATGCTCAGCATATAAATGGAGGGGGAGCAGGTGTGGAAGAAAAAGGGAAGGGGAGGGCTTTAAGAGTGTTTGTCTTCCAAAGTCACCACTATGTGTGATGAAGCCTGGCTTTCCTGACTGAACACCTGCCTGCCTGTGGGAAGTGGTGAGTGAATTCCTTGCTTTGCTTTCCTTGCATGTGCAGCTTTTCCTCAGCTTTTCCTTTACCTATTAATCTGTCCTTACCTCAAGCCATGAGTTTTTCATCTTTATGATTCTCTCCCCCCATCCTGAGTGGGGAATAAGGGAATGGCTATGTGGGGCTTAGCTGCTGAATGGAGAGGGGAGAGGAGGGAAGGGAAGGGAGGGGAGAGCATCTCAATTTTGTTTCTTTGGGTTTTTTTATTCATTTCAAACAATTCATATTCAAAATTAGCTAAATGAAACTAAATACAACTGGCAGCTGGTCACTAGTGGTGCTCCCCAGGGCTCATCACTTTGACCAGATCTGTTTAATATCTTTATCAATGATTTGAACAATGGGATCGTATGTGTCCTTAGTAAGTTTGCAGATGATGCCATATTAGGTGGGATTATTGATCTGCTTGAGGGTAAGAAGGCTTTGCAGAGGCATCTGGGCAGGATGGATCAATGGGCCACGACCAGCTGTATGAGGTTCAATAAGGCAAAGTGCTGGGTCCTGCCTTGGGTTACTACAGCTCCATACAGAGCTACTGCTTTGGGGAAGGGTGTATTGAGAATTGCTCAGAGTATGGCCAGCAGTACTAGGGAATTGATTGTCCCCCTGTACTGAGAACTGGTCAGTCCGCTCCTTGAATCCTGTGTTCAGTTTTGGGTTGCTCACTTCAAAAAGGTCATTAAGGTGATGGAGTGTGTCCACAGAAAAGCAATGAAGCTGGTGAAGGGTCTAGAAAACATGTCCTGTGAGGAGTGACTGAGAGAGTAGGGGTGTTCAGTCTGGAGAAGAGGAAGGTCAGGGGAGACTTTCATTGCTCATTACCTGAAACAAGACTGTAGTGAGGTGAGGGTTGGTCTCTTCTGCCATATATCAAGTGAAAGGACAAGAAGAATGGTCTTAAGTTGTACCAGGGGATGTTCAGATCAGATATCAGATAAAAAACCTCACTGGAAGAATAGTTGGGCATTGGAATAAGTTGCCCAGGGAGGTGGTGGAGTCACTGTCTCTAGAAGTATTTAAGAGGTGTTGGGATGTGGCACTTGGGGGTATGGTTGAGAGAGTATAATGATGGTGTGGGTTGATGGTGGGCCTGGATAGCCCTGAGATTGGCTCAGTTGGTTAGAGATGGGTGATAATAATGCCAGGTTTGAGGTTTCAATCCCTGCACAGGCCATTCACCTAAAAGTGGAAAATTATGATCCTTGTGGGTCCCTTGCAGCTCAGAATGTTCCATGATTCAGTGAAGATGATCCTGAAGATCTCTTTCGGAGTTGCTGATTCTGTGTGTGAAAATACTAACATAATGCAGGGCAAGAGGTTTCTACAATTGCATGAACAAAAATTGACTCCTTACTTCTCTCTATTTCCTGCTTGGTCTTCTTACTCTAATTTGCATAGTGTCAATGGACTTACATTTCTTTTTATGCAAGGAGGAGCCAGTATGGTCCTAATATACTTTATGCAGTTGTAATGTTATTTATCACTAGCCTCATGGTGCAAAAAGCTCATCTTCAGTGGACCAGAATGAACCCCATACTCAGGTCACTGGGTGAGTTCGCTTCCTGGGTACGAGGGTGATAACATGCAGTAGACAGTCCTTTGTAAGACCCCAAGGAAGTAAGAACTGCAAGAGAAATTAATGTCAAACTCCAGGATATAAAACAAATTAAAGGCAAATAGAATGAGTTCACCATGTCCACCAAGAAAACAAGAAAAATCCAGAGATTATTTTGAAATGAACATGCAGAAAATTAAGATTTGGGAAAAGTAATAAATGTCTCCTAGTTGAGTACCCCCAAAATGGTGCTTGTTAAATTTCAAGAAAGAAATTTGTTTCCTATATGGCTTATCCTCTTATTGTTTTCTCATGAAGGAGAAACTTGATTGATAACTATTTTCACAGAAAATTACATGGAGTAACAAAATTACAACACAAAAACCTCACATCTATATTTTCAAATCCAAAATCTTTTGTTTATAGTGAAATTAAATGCTTACAGCACTACTGGCTCTGCTACATGCCAGGTAAATCAAAAATACACTGTAGAGTCCCCCCTGCCAATGGCCAATGAGATAATTTCAGAGTAGTGTACTGCAAGAACTAATACTCATTAGAGTTTTCCAAAGATACAGTATCTGTCGTGATACATGCCTTTTTAGTTACATTCTAATTTCATTCTTCTTGCAGTTTTTCACTAAAAATTTTAGTGTCACTTTCTCCTTCTGACAAAGGTCCAAACCCAAAATATTGCAGACATAGAAAATAGCGCATTAAGATCACATATTTCATGTTTTTTAGAGAACAAAATATGGGAATTTTTACTAAAAAGCTTCTGAGATGCAACCTCAAACTACATGTGGCAGGTATAGACATTGACTTTAACAGACACAGTATTTCAATTCTGAAAAAAGGG